AATGAATCTTCCCAGATGTGAATGAGGTCTGGGTCTCCTTCCGTGGTCTGTGTGACCATGAGATGGAGCTCCTAGTTGTCTCCATCCTGCCAGAGGCTGCGAGCTAGGAGAGAGATGTCCTGTCCCACACCTCTAAGACATCCTCTAAGACAACAGCAGCTAGATAGAAATCATGTGGCAGACCAATTCTGGCCACTTTGACCTAATTGAGACTAATTTTGCCTAAGTTTCCTTCTTCTGCAAAGCCAGGGTTTGCCATGGAACCCCCCCTGGCCAAAGAGGGCTGGCAGTGCATGGTGACAGGGCTGCTGAAAGCAGTGGTGTGCTTCCCTGAAGGGGATGAGAAGAGTTGCACCAAGCCTGGCTGGGTGTCCCCAGGGAAGGGGAAGGTGGGGTGATACTGGGAGCAGTGGCAATGGTGGGGCCAATCAGGATGTCAGAGTAGCGCAGAAGGTTGCAGATGGCCAAGTATCGGTCAAAGGCCATGGTGAGCAGGACCCCTGACTCCACTGTGGACAAGCTGTGGATGAAGAATATCTGGGCCACACAGCCCTCAAACTCAATCTCGTGGAAGCAGAACTAGAAGGTGCTCAGGAGCTTGGGGCATGGTGGAAGCAGTGAGCACGATGTCAATGGCAGCCAGCACGGAGAGGAAGTAAAACATGGGCAGGTGCAGGCTTGGGTCCATCCTAATCCCTAGGAGGAGTGTGATGTTCCCCAGCAGTGTGATGAAGTACATGGTGCAGAATGGGAAGGCAATACAGAACTGAGCATCCTCCGCCCCAGGGATGACTGTCAGGGTGAAGGACAAGGGACTGGAGTAATTTGGGTAGGACATGAGGCACTGCTGCAGAGCTGGAAAGGAAGCCACAGGAACAGTTGGCATAGATGGGGAGAAGAGTGAGCTGCAGCAAGCATGCTGTGGACTCCAGCCACTTCTCAGGCACACAAGACCTGTGATCACATCCGCCTGCCTCTTATCAAGGTTCATTAGCAAGACGCAAACACACGTTGTCTTAGCCCAAACATATGGGAGTTATCTATCTTCTCCTCCCATCCTGGACTGGCGTCTGGCTGTTGTCCCCACCCCTCCACTCCATAGTTTGGGAGTTACGAACTAAAAGTTGAGTACATTTAGTTGCCATCAGTAATCTTAGTAAATCTAAGATGGGAGAAGGGGAAGATCCAGAATACTTTGAGGATGCAGCTCAGCAGGACTGCAGCCACTCATACACCTCTGCAGGTGTAAGCCATATCCCTTCCTGGGCTGGTGTGATTCCCACCCTCGGAAATTGCAGCAGATGTATATCTGCAACAGCATTGTTTGCTGCCCAGAGCATTTTTGCTGTGAGAGCCAATGCCCGTGGAAGCAGCGCACTGACCCCGGGCATCCCCCAGCTACGTGCCCTGCTTCAGGCCAGCGCTGTCAGCTGTGGGGCTGTCCCCGCTGGAGCCCAAATCCAAACCACCTCGCTGGAGTCCCTCTCTGAATCCCACCTGCAGGGTCCCCGTCTCCTGCATTAGGAAGGAAAATCAGTGTCATGGACAAAACTGCCGTGAGGCTGCAGTGCTGGTCCCTTCCAGCACTAACCCTCCCACGGTGCACGTCCCTCCTTTTCCTCAAGCCCTTGCCAAAAGAAAGAAATGTTGTTAATTGTCCCTGTTTTACCGGGAAAACAGAGGCACAGAAGGGTTAAATCAGCCTGCTGGCAGTATGGGAATTAGATGCAAGTTTCTCAGGCACTCGTACCCTTTGTTTTCCCCAACATACCAAAAGGCCAGAATTCATCTCCTTGGCTTTACAGACATTTGACTTCCTTGACCCCTAAATAGTTTCATCTCTCCTCCACATGACACAAACCAACAGGCATTTCAGTCTGTTTCTAGTCATTGCTATTTGCAATGTAAGGCCAAGCCAATATTGTGAAAATACTGCCAAGACAATGTTATTTATAATAGTTTATTGCAAAGAGGAGACTGTTTGCAGTGTAGTCAGCTACCTCGGCTATAAATTCAGGGAGGCAGAGCCACAGCTGGCAGAAGCCAGTCCAGCAGGAAATCTGTCTCGTGCTAGAATTATTTATCTGGAATGGGCAAACACATCTGAGATCCTGTAATCCTGGGCTTGGAAAAAAAGAAGATCCTCCCTCCCTCCTCTCTGTCAGAGGTAATTGATCTACAAATCCTGTGTACTGTTCTGGGCAGTGTTACCGGTACTTCATCTTGTATAATAAAGCTATCCGGATTATTAGATAATGCTATTCAACAAGCATCAGGCTCAGTTTTTACTGGGTCCTTTTCATGTATGTTCACAGTGCTGTGCTAGTTCTGTGCCCTTAGCAGGCTCTGATTTCTTGGGTACACGTAAACACACGAAATACCAAGGAAGCAACCTCTTTAGCTCAGTCTCCCTGACCATTTGGGTCATGGAAAGACGCTGTCCCCACTGCACTTCAGTTTCATCCACGTTACACCGGACCTCCTCTACATCTCATGCATCCTCTTGACGTGCCCTGCAGCCACGGTGACAGTGTGCTAGCAATCAAAGGTGCCTCCGGACCCCGGACACACAAGGTGACAGGCAGCTACTGCCACGTCCCAGCCCTACACAGAGCATCTCACCCGGAGGAGCTCTTCCTTCATCTCATCACCTCCAACCCAGCCTCGCATGGACCTCTCACTTCTACCACCAGCCCCCAAGAACAACTGCAGTTGCAGCCTACATATAAATGCCATGTTAGGAAGATATTGTGATTTTGGCTATTTGTGAGTTGTACATGCAACAGGGATGGGAGCGGCACTTTCAGACTCGGTGCTGCTCAAGTGGAGCAGCGCTTTCAGGCCTGTTGACACACTTTTGAGCATTTTCTTTGCGCTTCATTGGCAGGAAAAGCTGACAGAGTTTTATTTTGTGTGATTCAGTAGTTCAGTAACTTGTGAAGTGACGAGTTTTGGTCACTGCAGTAGATTTTCTAGAAACAGGGGACATTACCAGGCACCTTGACCTAGCTTGCTGTATCCCATTAGATTTGTTGCAAAATTATTGTACTTTATTTTTAAACAGTGAAACAGATTAAAATACCCTCAGAGAACGAGCTGCTTGGTATTGAAAAAAGTGCAAAAGGAGTGTAAATCTGTGGTTGCTAGCATGCTGGCAAAGCTTCCCTGACTTCATAAGGAAGGAGTAGATCCTGGTACTTGAAATTTTAACTCTTTCCTCACTCATTTTTGTCAGCTCTGCCCCTCTGCAGCTAAGCAATAATCATTACATTTACCAGATTTGATGCACTTAACATTTTGTGTCATTCTTAGACATTGTAAGTCTACCAGCCGTGCAGTCTGACCCTGTGAAAAACATATAGCCAACGCTTTTTGCAACCACATGCTGATCTGACTGTGCTAACAGCCACCCAGCACTCCTGATCAGCGTACAGCCTGTCATGACAGAAACATCCCTTGAATTTTGGGTGTTAAGAGAGCTACAGTCTAGTCCATACCCCTTCCCCAGTATAAGATCAAAAGTATTTTCTGATATAGATAAATGTATGAGCTGATCTCCCATTGCAGAAACTCTATACTTTCCCCAAATCACCCATTTCAGAGCATTTTCCCAGCATCAAGCCTGTATCTCACTGGAGCTCATGACTTTTGTCCTTTCCACAGAATCACAGAACCACAGACGGGTTTGGGTGGGCAGGGACCTCCCAGCCCATCCAGTGCCACCCCTGCCATGGGCAGGGACACCCTCCACTAGCCCAGCTTGCCCAAAGCCCCATCCAACCTGGCCTTCAACACTGCCAGGGAGCCAGGGGCAGCCACAGCTTCTCGGGGCACCCTGTGCCAGGGCCTCAGCACCCTCACAGGGAAGGATTTCTGCCTCCCATCCCATCTCCATCTCCCCTCCTGCAGCTTCAGGCCATTCCCCTTGGCCTGTCCCTCCCTGCCCTTGGCACCAGCCCCTCTCCAGCTTTCCTGGAGCCCCTGCAGGGACTGGAAGGGGCTCTAAGGTCTCCCCGCAGCCTTCTCTTCTCCAGGCTGAACCAGCCCAACTCTCTCAGCCTGTCTCCAGAGCAGAGGTGCTCCAGACCAGTGTGGGTCCTCCGTGGTCCACACTCCCTTCGGTGGGAGTGCTTCTACCACCGTGGAGCACCTCCTGTTTCTCTGACCTTGGTGGTCCCCTTGTTGTTTCTCACTTTTTTTGTTCACTCCTCCTCTCTTAGTCTGACAATTTCTGCCCTTTCTTAAATATGTTTTCAGAGGCACCACAAACTCCCCTGGCTGGCTCAGCTTTGCTGCATGATGGATCTGTTCCTGATCCAGCTGGAACCATCTGTGCCCGGCACAGCGCAATCCTGGACCTCCCTCCTGGCCATCCCTGCAGCCCCCTCTGTTACCCAAACCTTACCACCTACACCCAGTACACCTCCCCACAAATATCTTGAGTTGCTATTTACAAATATTGTTTTGCTTTGTGCTGTGTGGATAATGAGTTAATTAGTTCCTAATTCAGGAAATTAAGCTCTTAATCAGATTTGTGCTAGAAATTTCTGCTTCCACAAAGTGGTATTTACATGTTCCTTCCAAAAGTAATTTTCTAAATTATAGGCAGTGAATAAATGCAAGGAAAAGAAGACACAGTGAAAAGTTAATATTAAAGTGTTTTATACTGTCTGTCTGTCCCAGTGCCTTTCTGGGACGCACTGTGATGTGCTGCAAGGAAAAGAACAAGTCCCAGCTAAACGTTAACTCCTGAAGGGCTCCGACTGCATCCATAAAGCCATCAATCTGCCAAGCTTGTGTAGTCTTTCACTACAGTACTAGTGCTTGCTGCACAATGTATATTTACTCTACAATTTGCAGTCATAAATTATTGTTATTTGTGTTGTGATAGTGACTAAGAGTCTGCCAAGGGCTAAGGCAGCATGCTGGATAGTCAAAGAAAAGGAGCACATTCCCCATCCTCAAAGCTAAATCAAGAAAAGTCAAGAGCTGGGTGCAGTTCAATGGGCAGTTCTGTCATTGTGTATATGAATTAAATTCAGGATCCTCCTCTGCATCTGCTGGGTCCTCACCCCGTAGATGATGGGGTTGAGCACAGCGGGCACCAGGATGTAGATGTGCCCCATGATGATATGGACCAGTGGAGCCAGGTCCTTCCCAAACCTGTGCACCACGGACAGCCCAATCAGGGGCACATAGAAGGCCAGGACCACGCAGATATGGGCAATGCAGGTGCTGAACACCTTCAGCCTCTCCTTCCACAATGCTTCGCCCCTCCCCTCCCACAATCCCAGCCGCAAGACAGCCTTGAGGATGAGGACATAGGAGAGGCAGATGAGGATGGCATCCAGCCCCATGACCAGCAGGATGGCGGTGAGGCCGTATACCACACTGGGGGTGGTGTTGGCGCAGGCCAGGTTCATCACATCCTGGTGCAGGCAGAAGGAGCGTGACAGCACCCGGGAGCTGCAGAAGGGATGGGGCAGAGCAGGGCTTGTTTCTGTCTCTCCTCTGGAGCCAGGGGGTGTTCTGGCAGTCTTTAGAACGCTAAGTGTGCTTATTTTTTTAAACTGAAATAATGTTACAAGCATGAGAGCTGCACTGTAGTAGCCCCAGAGCAGTGCTTTTATAGTGGGAAACAGGCGTGCGTGCTATCAGAGTCACAGAGTCGCTGAGGCTGGCAGGGACCTCTGGAGATCGTCCTGGCCAACCACTCTGCTCAGGCAGGGTCACCCAGAGCAGGTTGCCCAGGACCGTGTACACCTGGGGTTTGTGTATCTCCAAGGATGGAGACTATACAGCCTCTCTGGGCAACCTGTGCCAGTGTTTGATTAACCTCATCATAAAAAAAAAAAAATATATTTGTTATGTTTAAATGGAATTTCCTGGTTTTTTCTAGTTTGTGCCCATTCCCTCTTGTCCTTTCACTGGATACCACTGAGAAGAATGTGGCTTTGTCTTCATTACTCCATCTCACCAGGTATCTATACAGATTAAGAAGGCACGCTCAACGCACAGAATATCTTTGCCAAGGGAAACAGCCCTTTGACAGGGACAACGCCTCCCTTAAAGGTGCTTGAGACTCAGAAAAGACAATAGTTTGCATTGGTAACTATTCATATAGAACATACTGCCTATGGGACCACCAGCAGGTCAGCACTACTCTGTGGGTTATTTATTATCTACCTTAGAAGCAACTGGGATGAGTCATTCACCAGGGCTACTTCATGTACTATCATGCCCTTTGCTGTGTTGTGTCCTCACCGCTGTGCCCTGGAGGAACATCACTGATGTGGAGCCCAGACCCACTGCACCAGTGTGGAGCAGTGGGTGCATGCCTGGTTTTGAGGACTCATAGATTGCTTCAAACTATGCAGCTGTGAGGGGAAAGGAGAGATTTGAGGGTTAAAGGCACCGACTGTGGCTTAGGCAAACTGGAGCTGGAGAACTGGTGTAAGTTGCAAAAGGGCTGGAGACACTGCTGTTCCTGGCTGTTGAAAGTGTAAAGCAAAGTCTGCTCAGAGTGTTGAGACAACAGCAACGGGGACAGTGATGTGGATTTCAGAAGAAATTCCAATCTGGTCATTTTTGAAAATAACTGTCCTTAATGAGACACCACCTAGGTACTGATGGTGACCTGCTCCCTGTAACCCAGCTGAGCAATTCCTGTGTTTGGCAAAATTCTTCCTTCTGCTTTTCTGTTCTGTGCCATTGCCCTGCAGTGATGAGGGAGTGACTCATCTAGGCTTCCCTCAATAGCCCTTCTTTTGACCGCAGATCAAACACCACAAACCCTCTGAAGATGTTATTGCTCCATCATCTCTTCTACATGGTGAATCAGGTCGCAAGTTCTCTTATCAGTGAGGATCCCCTCTAGGAACCCCTCACTCCTCCACACTTCTCTGCCACTACACCCTGCCCTGCCCCATGCAGAGCATCCTCCACATTGACCTTGAACTGAAGAATGATATTTATCAACTATGCATTTATAACCGGCAACAAGAATTTAGAAGCAAGGATGAAGCACAGGGAATCATAGAATCATAGAATCATTTAGGCTGG